TCTCTCTCTCTCTCTCTCTCTCTCTCTCTCTCTCTCACACACACACACACTCACCGAATAACGATAACAACACACCTGATTCATCATTACACTCAATAACACACACTTCAGGAGAGGAAGCAGCGCCAACACACACACTGAAGCACAAACCCAGAGCTAACACACACACACACTTACTGAGCGACACGCGTGAGAACTGCGCAGAAACACACAGACGGGCCTGAAGATCACCGGATCACCGGAGCTGCTCTACCGACAGACCGAGCAACAGACAGCGCTCTACCCGCTCTACCGCGCTCTCTCTCTCTCTCTCTCTCTCTCTCTCTCTCTCTCTGGAGCTCTACCGCGCTCGCGCTGTCTCTCTCTCTCACTCTCTCTCTCTCTCTCTCTCTCTCTCTCACTCTCTCTCTGGAGCTCTCTCTCTCTCTCTCTGGAGCTCTACCGCGCTCGCGCTGTCTCTCTCTCTCTCTCTCTCTCTCTCTCCTCCTCGCTCTACCACACTCACTCACTCACTCAGTCTGTCTCTCATTCACTAGAGCTGCTCTACCATTCAATTCAATTCTGTTCATTTCTATAGAGTTTTTCCTCATATTTTTTCAAAGCACTTTTACCCCTTGTAGATTCACATTTTTCTACGATCTTTGTCTAAATGACCTTAATTGGATTTCATTATTATTAATTATAAAATAAAAAAATTTTGTATCTTTATTTATTTGATTTACATTTGTGGATAATTTTGGCAATATTACCTAGATCAGTGAGGAAAACAAGTACAGAAAACAAGTCTACAAACAGATTTGGTGATAATATAGCATATAATGGGAGATTTACAAGCAATTTTTTGTAGGACATTTTTGACTAGAAAGGGTACACAGAATTACCTGAAAAGTACCAAAAAAAATCATTTTTATTAGAATTTTACATTTTACAAAAAAGCAAAAGAAAACAAGTTACACTTAGAAAATATATACAAATCAATGAATGATAATATTATAAGAAAAAGTATATGCAGTTCCAATGATGGAACAAGAACAAGCACTCAGCAGAAGTTACTGACAAGAGTCCGCATCTAACTGCTTGAGATGATCCAGAAATGGTTGCCATATACCGTCAAATTGATCAAGGTTACCCATAATTCCACACCGGACTCTCTGCATGTGTAATATTCCAGCAAGATAAGTCAAGTCTTACTGAGGAACAGTATCTGATTTCTAAAGTCTTAGAATTATGCTCTTAGCAATAATCATTCCATAAATAATGGGGCTTTAAAATAAGTTTTTTTTTTGGAAGGGGATTTGTTTCTTTCGAACGCGCAGCTTTTGTCTTCTCCAGATGTTAACTGATGGACACCCATAATTCCACACCGGACTCTCTGCATGTGTAATATTCCAGCAAGATAAGTCAAGTCTTACTGAGGAACAGTATCTGATTTCTAAAGTCTTAGAATTATGCTCTTAGCAATAATCATTCCATAAATAATGGGGCTTTAAAATACGTTTTTTTTTTGGAAGGGGATTTGTTTCTTTCGAACGCGCAGCTTTTGTCTTCTCCAGATGTTAACTGATGAACTGGAGTGCTGTGGATTACTTGTGGATTATTGTGATGTTTTTATCAGCTGTTTGGACTCTCATTCTGACGGCACCCATTCACTGCAGAGCATCCATTGCTGAGACACTGATGCAGTGCTACATTTCTCCAAACCTGATGAAGAAACAAACTCATCCTGATCAGTATCTGCTGGACAGACTCCAGTCACTCCAGATCAACAGTCAGTTCAGTCGCAGATGAAGTCAGAAAGTGTGTGGTTCCTCGTGACAGCAGAAGTGTGACGTCTGCCGGAGCGTCTCGTGTTCAGCATCCTGTCAGAGGAACCCAGAGGAACCGGACGCTCAGAGCCGCAGGATGGTAAGATCGTCTCATTCTGTCAGATCTGACTGCATCAATAACGGGTTCGAGTCGCAGAGCGTCCAGTCCCAGAGCTGCTTTATGACTTGACTTTAAATAAAAACAGGAAGCAAAGCATTACAGCACAGCACGCACACTTCCTGTCCTCGATCTCTCCAGCTAGCGGCTCTAACGGCCGTAATTCAGTCTGATTTGAGTTTAGCTCTGGTTTAATGCGTGGTGAAGCTGTCGGGCTGAGTTACAGCTCTGTTGGGTTTGTCTGTTGTCTCTTCAGTCGAGTTCTCTAGTCGTGTGCGAGGTGGACGTCAGTCTGCAGGAGAAGCTCAAGAAGTTCCGCTTCCGTAAAGAGACCAACAACGCAGCCATTCTGAGTGAGTCTGACACACGCTGTTGATCTGTGCGAAACAAACGAAAGTGATTTTCTCATTCAGCTCATGTGTTCCTCAGTGAAGATCGACATGGAGAAGCAGCTGGTGGTGCTGGAGGAGGAATATGAGGTCAGTGTGACCTTTGTGCTGCTCTGAGGGTCAGGGGGTCAAAGGTCATCTCACCTGTGTGTGTGTGTGTGTTTCAGAACATCTCACTGGATGAACTCAGAGAAGAGCTTCCAGAGCGTCAGCCTCGATATCCTCACCGATCTCATCATCTGATGCCTTTACATGCATGCATTTAGTAGATTTTGTTATTGTTGTTAACTAAAACTTAAAACATTAAAAAAAAAAAATCTTTTGTTAACTGAACATGATCAAAACATGAACTGAAATTATTTCATTTCAGCTCATTGTCGTTAAGTTTAACTTTAAGTACTAAAATAACTATCGAACCAAAAATGTATAAAACATATCTAGATATATTTAAAAAAGAAGCTAATAAAATGACAAAAACACAACAAAATTAGGAAAATTTAACTACAATTAAAACTTAAACATAAAATACTTGCAATAAAATAAACATCAAATGAAACAAAATAAAATATACAAACATTAACTTATTTTATTTCAGCTAGTAGCCAAGGCAAAATTCACATTTTAATTTAGTTAAACTTGAATTACTAAAATAAGTCAAACTAAACCTGAAATAAAAATAAAAATTTAATTAGACGTTTAAAAAAGAAACTAATAAAAATCACAAAAACATACAACAAAATTACTCTAATTTAACTAAAATTCAAGCCAGAAAATACTTGAATTCAAATAAAAACTTTAAAAATTTTAAATGTATTTTATCTAGTTGCCAAAGGCAACATTTCTGAACATGAAGTACTAAAATAACGAAAACTAAAATTTATAAAAACTATATAAAAATGACAAAAACACACATCAAATTACTAAGACTAAAGCTGAAAATAAAAACTAATTGACATGTTAACAGTAAAAGCCAACAGTAGTATGTGGTGTGTTCAGTGTGTGTTCTTTGACTCAGATGCACGTATATCGTGTACAGTTATAAACTGACCCACGGTGACGGACGCGTGTCGTATCCGCTCTGCTTCATCTTCTCTAGTCCTGTGGGTGAGTAGAGACGTCTGCACTAGGTCTCTGTTCAGATGCTTGATTTGACTTCCACTGAAACAGCTTCTGAACTCTCTCAGGCTGTAAACCGGAGCAGCAGATGATGTACGCCGGCAGCAAGAACCGGCTGGTGCAGTCTGCGGATCTCACCAAGGTCAAGCACTGATCACTGCCTCGTGTGTCATGGAAACTGTTAAATGGCCAATTATAAAAGAGATATGAAAAAACCAAATAGCCCATCGGTTGAATCCTGTATTCCCAGCTGACAGGGAACATTCCGGCAAAGTTCTGAACACATGTTAAAAAGTAACATTAATGGAATGTTCGTTCAGAGCTATCTGGTCTCTGATAATGTTCTTAAAACATTAACACAAAAACATTACTTATATGCATCGGTCGTGGAATGTTTAGTTGGACGTTCATCTTACGTTTTTTACTAATTGTTTCAAAAGTATTTCTGAAGGCATTGCTGTTGACACTGACTCATAAAAGCAATTAATCTTTTCTCTCTCTGTAGGTTTTTGAGGTTCGTAATCCGGACGACCTGACTGAAGAATGGCTGAAGGAGAAATTGTCATTTTTTCGCTAAATTATGAACAGCATCATGAAATCATTCAGAAATGACGTTCAGAACTGATCTCTGTTCAGTGGGAACTTATTCTGTTTTACATATTTCATCGTAATTCTTGCTCTTATTTCATTTTGTGTATTATGTAAGACATCGTGCCAGTCTGGAGAAACTGGTTTTCTGTAAATCATGTGTTTGTGAATCAACATCACATAAATCATGTCTGAATCTCAGTGCGTTTGGTGATTTTTGGTGCATGACGTCAGTTCGGCTCTAGAGAATCACATACACTTCTAGTAAACAAACAAAATCATTGTTTATTTACAATGTTTACACTGTAATGAGAGAAAAACTACTAAAAAAAAAGATGCTCACTAATAAGTGATTCACTCAGTCCATGATGAAAAAGCAGAGAAATTAAACAGGAACATCAAACAGCAAATGAAAACTGAGTCTAGAGCAAACTACAGCAGGACAAACCAGTCATTCAGTTCATTTCTCACATCTATTAAAGATCATAGAACACACACACACACACTCACACACACAATCTCACACACACACACACACAGTCTCACACACACACACACAATCTCACACA